CGCGAATCGAGGGAGTTCTCGGCGAAGAAATTGTACATATTTTTTAAAGAAAAATCCGCGAATATTTGAAACGGAAATAGGCGGAGGCTCATTGTATTTACTAATTTCACCATATTGTTTTTTTTTTTTTTTTTTTTAAATCATTTCATCAAAGCAAGGCGATAATGTCACTAAGATGCAAGGGATTACTGGGAGTGGAAGAAAATGAAAAGACTTTAGTGAAGAGAAAGGACAATAAAACAACAAGTTCTTGGAAGACAGAAGATGATGATTGATATTGCAATTAAGTTTTGGAAGATTATAAGTTGCGGTGGAACAAGAAATCGTAAAAGCGTTTCACATGTGAGAAGTGCGAGAAAATAAATTATTAGAATAGAACATACGGATACATCTAGCTAGATCAACAGTAAAAACAATGAGACTTAGTTGCCAGTTTAGTAGATGCGAAATCGAGATGCCAATTCAAGATCAATTACTTTACAGACCCTACTATGTATTTTGTCAAGAATCTTGAGATATATAATAGGAGCACCAGACCAGATATGGCAGCATATTAAATGCGTGGATGAATGGTAGATTGTGGTTCAGAGTCAGAAAATATGCCATTTTTGTGAAGATCAAACTTATTTTGAATAATCTATTTGGTAAGCTTGCACTTATATGACTCCATTTTATTTATATTAATGCACTTTTCCCTGAAAACCCGCCCAAACCTATGGCAAATAGCGCAGCAGCTCGAATCCGAGGATGACAGTCTAGTAAGGCAGCGAGCTAATCCCAATTGCAGACACCTGCTCAGGCACATTCATGCTTGTTCAAGACCCACAGAGCCCACGTGTGGTTTACATTCGTTACAGTTTATGGGAGAGAGCGCCTGATCAACAGTCTGAAAAAGGATAGCACGCTCAGACCCTCGGTCACGATGACTTGTGACTTCGTGCTAGCCCAACCACTGACGGCTCCCAAGGATTCCGTCTACCCAATTTCTCTCTCAAGGATTGGGTCATGCACAGAATAATAATAATAAAAAATTATTCAAAAGGTCAGTTATATTATTTTGAAACACTTTAACAGCGCAACGGGATAAGTGCACATAATAAAAAAAATGTACAGTTATTAGGCCATGACCAATATCTTTCGTAAGAAAACAAGAAATATATCACATCGGAAGCAGTAAAAATTATCATGTTGTTGTAGACTCTCAGGATACAGAGAATGGTGCCAGAGATCTGAAGAGACTTGGTGTCGCTTCATTCCGCGCGCTATTTGTCCAAGAATACTTTTTAGAATTATAAGGAAAATACTTCCCACTTCTGTTTGAAAGAAATAACAGCATCAATATGATTGCCTCATTAATATTCGTAGTGGAAATAAAAGTAATGATAATATCTTAGGCAGTGGCTCACTTAATATTCACTTATTGTGAAATAGCGATGGAACGTTGGGAATTAATGAAATATGATCTCTCAGTGTCGAATTTTCTGTGTCTATTGGAACATGTTCGTCGCCTAGCAGCACTGACAAATGTGTTTAAATTTATGTCGAGTGCTTCTAAGTACGTGAGAAAAGAACTTTATGTATGGGTGAACGCTAATAGAGCACGCATGTGTGAGCAGTTGATCAAGTGTTTTTTTTTTTCGTTGCGTGTGTATAGGATGGATGACGGTGGAGGTCGGGAATTTCTAAGCAGATGTCGGAGCGGGGGTGTCATAATCCGGCAGTGAGAATATTTCAAACAGTTTTGTCTATAATTCAAATCTACTGTTTGTTGTTTTGAACCAGAGTTTTGGCCCATCATGCGAAATTGTTTATATCAATTTGTTCAATCGCCAATTCAACAAAAAAATATTTTTAGTCTGTTTTTATATATTATATTACAATTTAAAAAAAAAAAATCATTTCACCCCTAGCAAGGCAATAGAACTACTGAGAGGAAAGATGTTACTGGGTGAGAAAGAATGTGTAAAAAAAAAAAAAAAAAAAAATAAATAAATAAAAAATAAACAAGAAACACTATTAAGGAGAGAGAACGATAAAAGAACAGGTTTTTTTTTTTTAATCAATTCACCCCAAGCAGGGTGATAATCCTACTCAGACGCAAGGAGCTAATTGGAGTAAGAAAAAAAAAAAAAAAAAAATGAAAAAGACTTAAGGAACCAGAAACGTAATCCTAAACAGAGACCAAGGTATAAACCTCTATCCCCGTTTGAAAGACCGCGGAAGAGTATGAGACGGGCGATAGGTGAACCTATCTGTTCCTATTAAAAATAATTATAGTATTCGAAGTATATCCTTTCCGTTTCGATTTTCTATATGAGTAGCGAGAAAATTTAAAACTGCCTCGTTATTAATATGCTTCGACCATAGTATTTTCAGCATCTTTATGCTGAATCACATCTTTTGTTACGTCAAGTTTCCCCCTTAATGTCTGAACAAATATTAAGAATTTAAGGAATAAAAAATACATTACTTCTTTAGAAAATTGCTTTGTTTACCTTTGGATACGAAACTGAGTAGCTTAACCAACCAGGAGCACATCGAATCTAACGACGGTTCCTTCTGTTCAAGAAGACGCAGGTTCGAATCCTGCCAAAAAGAGCCTATTTTTATTTTATTTTTAAATAAGATTTTTCTAATATTCAGCCCATTAAACGACAATAAATTAATATAGTGTTTAATAAATAATTGGAGCGTCTAATCAAATATGAATATCCTCTAAAAATAATGTTTGAAGTGATAAAATTTCACGGATTAATAAATAAAAAAAAGTTCATTACTTACTTAGAAATATATATATATGTGTGTGTGTGAAGCTATAAAAACATTAAACTGAAGTAATTCCTTCTAGGAAAATATAATACATGGTTGTAAACAAGAAGTCACGAATAGGAGATACTAAAATTAAACAAGTACAGATGTTCAAACATCTGGAAAATGTTTTAACAGACGACGGAAAGTGTGATGGCAAAATGTGAAGGACCACTAGAGTAACAAAAGATGACTTCTAAAAGTAGACATTTTTTTCTTATATACATAAACACACACACATATATATATATATATAATATAACCAGAATATTTTGGTAGCGTTCCAGAATGTTTTACCTAAAATTGTGGTAAATCTTTGTGAGAATGAAGTCTTTTGTTAAATCTAATCTTTTTATTCTTTTCGCGATGTATTATAAAATATAAATCCAGTATAAATCAGTAAATTTTCACGATTTAAAATAGCACTTTCGGAGTCGACTTGAGTACAAAATAAAAGTGTTATTGATAACTGTCATCAGTTGATTTATGTGAGAAAGTAAATGCATATTTTTGGGTGAATAGTTCAATTACTGAGGCAGCCGAATGAGTTTTATCTATTTTATCAGCAGTTAACTTCATGGGAACCGAAGTATGGACTTGTTCTGAAAAAAACTCCATGACAATTCGAGGGTGAACTCTCTCTCTCTCTTTTTATATATATATATATATATATATATATATATATATATATATATTACACAAAATGTATTTAAGGAACTAATGATGGGCAAACAAATGACAGAATGAAAAAAAAAACTTTAAAAGTGACACGTATCATTCAGCGATGTAACACATTCTTCTATTTGCCGTGTCCCTTTAAGACGTGGATAACCATAATTCTCCATAACATTCAAAGCCATTTTTTTCTTTTTACTATCCTTGCTATTCATTTTTCTGCCTTCCATTTTCACAAGATCGATCGATAGGCTATGCACAAGATATTCCTTGATATTTCGTTTTGCTTCACTATGTCATGTGAGTGTCAAACATTCTAAGTCTTTTTTCTCATACGATCCAGAATTTTCATTCCTCTCTTTCTGATCCTGATCCAAGTACCTTTTTCGTTCTCTTTTTAGTTCTAATTTTCCTTCATCATCGTTTGCATTTCCTGTTTAGGCTCTTCTCAGCATCCATATACAGGATAACATCTGTTGTATCAAGCACCTTCATCTATGATGAAATTTTCTATTAATCCCTGTTGTATACGAGGATAGATGTAAAATAGTAGTTTAGCTCTCTTTCCTTTGGTTGTAACGAAATGTTCATGTTCTTAATACATTGTATATCCTTTGAAAGGCATCTTGCACTATTCCAATGTGACTTCGTATTTCTGTATTACTATTTCCCTCGAATGTCATAATACTGTTTGTTATAAACAGTATTACGACACCCAACGAAATTACTAACAAATACTTGACAAAATTAAAAGTTAAATTTTTGCTTTGTTTATCCTGACATCTGCAATGTGGGGTTCGAGTCAGAGGCTGCTCCTCTTAAAGGCCATACATTTCTGTCATCTTATAATTGATAATTATTTTTTCTTGTTCTCTTTTTTTTTCTAGTTTATCTAGGATCGACTGCAGATTTCTTACGGCGTGGGCTGTTTAATATCAGGGTCTCTTTTATGTTTTTTGAGGGTCAGAAAGCATGAACAGTAATAAAAAAAGGATTTTATTGACATCAGTGCTCGGAGATGTCTGCCGATTTTTACAACAGGTTTATTTATAGAATATCACTATTAAGCAGCTGTGGCGGGAAGGCAAGATAAGGTGAGTTCATGCATCCTGGGCGTACTTTCAAATATACTTATCTCTTATTATCATAAAATATTCACACACATATAAAATCCTGATATATGGGTCGTCATAACTCGCACAATACCTGTGGAACGACGAGCATGATTCGTTTGTTGGTTGTATTTGTTTAGCGGCATGTCTACCCTTTATGGGTTATGTAACACTGGAATATAACTATGTAGTGGACAATTTTCTTTTCTTTTTTGAGGTAAGTATCGTTTCAGTGATACAAGCCCTATTAAATAACCCATAGCATGGGAGATTAGAAGTGGATTCATTCCTTTCGCAAGGGTATTTTGCGCTTAAGTGAATATAAGGACTCCAAGTGGAATTGGAACTCGGATCTCCAATTAACAATTCTGAGCCATTATACTTTACAGCACCTGCATATCCAAGCTTACAGCACTGCTATTTTTCAAGCGTTCACCCATGTAGGTACTGACCAGGCTCGACGTTGCTTAACTTTGGTGATCGTACGTGAACCGGTGTTCAAACATCATGCGATCGTAAGCCGCTATGAGAATGATATTATATCCGAGATTTGAGTGTGAATTTGAATGATTTGATCATGCGTTTCATGATCTTTTATAATTTGTTTATATATGACCATATTCATATCGGATATTGTTATATCATATACCATCCATAACAATAGAGAAATGCAAGGCGGTGTATACAAATATATTGACATTGTTAATGATTAGGTTCAGTTAATTCATTTACAAATGTAGACAATGTAGTTTAAGAAAAAAAATAACATTACTCGTTCAAGCTACGAGTAACGAGCATGAATATATCAAAACCGAACATTTCCAGACCTGAGAAGGTCCCTCCTTCACATCATCCCAGATCAGCAATCCTGGACTGATGTTACAGTGAATTTCATTGGGATCGTTCCAGTAGCCTAGAACTGGTGTCTTACACGTGACTAGAGGAAAATAAATATGGCCATATTTTATGTCACCCTATAGATTTTCCTTTTGTAACTATTTCAGGTACTGATCCATTTGCCGTGGACGGATCTAGGAAATGACAAGCGAGGAGTTCTCCCCTGAGTTGAAAGTCAGTATTCAGAATTCTAACATTCCTGAGAAACGACTATACGGATCATATACACTTCGCAAACATGGTTGCGGTGTTGGTGAAACTTCAGCGGTGATGTTTATCCTTGGTGTCCATTGGATGTTTCAGGCCTCGAAAATCATGAAACCCTTTCTCCCAAGTGACTCAACTAGGAGCGATCCTGGGCGGCTTCCTGGATGTCTGTTGTATAAATTCGCCGTTAGCCGGAACTTTTATTAGATTGATTGTTTTCGAATTGCAGTCTATGAAATATGGTTTTACAATCTTTTGCTCTTTTAATTAATACCATTGTATTTCTATTAAAGTAAAACTTGTGCTCTCCAACAAACGCAAGTTTTTCTTTAATAGGATTTCTGGAACATTCAGCCCGGTAGACGAAAATGAATACACTGTTTAATAAATAAATGTAGCATCTTTTCAAATATGAGTATCCACTACAAATAACGGTTAAAGTGATACAAACCTGTCGCATTAATAAAAAATCCATTCTATTTACACACACACACATATATATATATATATATATATATATATATTCAAGTTTCAAACTCCATTCGCTGATTTTCTTTCGCCATGCTTTCCTATGTAACAGTCATTACTGAGACTTAAAAAAAATGATATATTAATCGTTTGATGCATTTTATCAACCCTTTGTAGGTTATTTAAAGCCAGAAAATCATTTTAGGTAATAAAAATTTGAGTGGGAGGACATAATTATTTAGCGATTCAAGGCTTGCTAATTAACCTATAGCTGTGGGGAGAATATGTTGATTCATAACTTCAAAATTATTTGCGCGTGTGAATATAACGAACCCAACTGAAATTTGAATTCGGCTCTTCGATTAACAATTCCGAAGAATTATCCTCTACTCCAAATGCATAAACAGGCTTAAAGCACCTTTGTATTTCCAAGCGGTCACCCATATAGACCGTGACAAGGCTCGACGTTATTTAACTTCGGTGATTGTACGAGAACCGGTGTTTGGACGTGATGTGGGTCGAAACATAGAATGAAAAAGAATTCAACATTGAAAATGTTTTTAATGCCTGTCCCTTTCAGATTGATGTTTTTCTTATCCGTGAATTGCTATTCATTCTTCGGAATGATGATTGAGATGTTTCACGTTATTTTCTCCTTTACTGGTCTCCAATCAAGGCTCAGTTTATCCTCCTATTCAATTTTGCTTTCATGAAATGACATGCCTGTTCAGAAATTAGACGATTAATTTTGTAGATTCTTATTCATAAGATATTTTTTAGAAATTCTTGGATCATATAATATAATTTCCCGTTCATTTTTTTATAGTTTGAAATTTTTTTTTCTTCGACCGTTTATTTTTTCACCAATTGATAGCAAGTTTTGTCTAAATCTTATCTGAGTGAGCGAAAGGGACAGATTCATGGCTTCTGTAAGAGCATTTGTGCAAAAAGTGAACGCAACAAATTCTATGTAAATTTGAAACCGCTACGCTGATTCAAGTTCCTGTACTGATATCCGTTAAAATATTTGCATATTGTTGAAACACTAATTCCCGACATAAAAGAATTCACAGCGTAAAAGCGAAATGAAGTTCACTTAACACAACCGATAAGGCTAATGAATAAAAAGTTTGGAAATTACTGCTAGATTTATTATGAAATATATAGAGACACATCTAAAAAAAAAAAAAAAATACTTGCTTGTGTAAATTTAATATAGCATGCAGGAAGTAATATAAATCCTTTTCTGAGAAATGCCATACTATTTTATGGCACTTTATATAAGAAAAAGAAAAAAAAATCTTCATTTATTTTGCGTGCGAAAAGTCCGCTATATCATGGAATCTAAACATGGAAACCAAAGATAAGTGGAAATCAAACTACAAAATACTAACCGTTTTAACGGAACACGTTAGCACAAAGTTACTGAAAAATAAGTGCACATGTCGAGTTTGGAGCGAAATGTCTGCAGAATAGACTAATGTCTTCTTGTCCGCTTCCGTCGTCACTTAGCCAGGCTTTTGGTTCCTCACTTAGCCACGCATTTGTTCAATTCATAACTAGGAAAGGATGGGAGTTCGGGAAGAGGAACCGTCTCTCGACATACTCTAGAAATGTGTCTCCCGAATCCATAAAGTCACGAAAGTAGTGCCGCGGCAAAGCGTGAGAATAAATTGTCTCCGAAAGTGCCCGACCAAGATAACGAGTGCCAAGTACCCGTCTCTGTATGTTTCATTTCACCTGACGTAAATGTGATAAGACAAGTGAGAAGAAGGAAAACAGAAAATAAGCAAAGAAAGAGAAAATGAAGAAAGCGAAGAAGGAATAAAAGCGATATGAATAAAGTAAAAAAAAAAAAGGAAAAAGAAATGCAAGAAAATGAAAGAAAGAAAATAAAGTAACAAAGATTATAATAAGAGCGAATAAAATTAACAACGATAGATTGAGTCAAAGGAAGGACATAAAATATTTTTTTAGATGTATCTTTATATAAGTGCTAGTAAAAAAATTGCTGTGGTTCAAAGTGCTTTCATTTTCCTGAGTGAATAAATTAGAGAACAATCCCACCATGCACTTCTTCAAATGACAGATAAACAGCTTTAATCTAAAACGTAATTTTATATATATATATATATATATATATATATATATATATATATATATATATATATATATAGGATAGTTCAATTCAGTCGTGTAAAGTGCTAATACTTACTCAAATAAATATAGTATCAGAGGGGTAATAGAGTTACTATAGCCGATTTGTCAAGAGTATGACGTCTTAATAAAAATCGTCCTGTGGAAACGATCTCTGCCCGCAGCATCGTTGGGATGTGCCTGAAGAACATACCCGAAACTGTTCAGAAGCCGTAGTTGCATGCGTTAACACAAAATCACAACTCTTAGCTAAGGCTATGAGTGTACTGGGCTTGCTTAACTATTGGTTACGCCAGGTTTTGTGCGTTCATCCACTGTTACGAAGATCTGCTTATCAATAATGCAGTAAATAAATAATTATATATATATATATATATATATATATAGAGAGAGAGAGAGATAGATGGGCCCTGGGTGTGTTGAAAAACCACTATGATTAGCCACATTGAAGAATTATAATACAGTGAAACAGTCTGTCTCTGGATGACTATATATTGTAAATCTGTTTGCTTAAATAGCATCCATAAGTTCTAATTTTGTATTAAATTACAACCACCGATAATATATCCTGGGAAAATATCTAGTTCCCTTAAGATAACGTCGTTGTAGAGGTTGAATAGATCTGTGGAGAAGACAGCCTTGTCTCAAGTCTCTTTCTATTTTTTTTTTAAATTTTGTAATTGAATTCTGTTTCGATCCGTATGAAGATGGTATATCGCTTTAATTGTTGCTTTATAATTCGTCACTAATACAGTGCCATTCTTGACAAGTTTTATTCTAATAATAATGTCTTTCCAATGCGCAATTTCTGTAATTATAATTTTTATTTGACAAATGTTTTTGGAGTTTCCTATAAAATTGTTAGAACCTTTCCTAATTCTAAGTAGTATTTTACAATTTATACACATTATTCCTCACACCAATAGTGCAGATATTTCTGTAAATTTTAATTAAACGTAGTTAGTTACTTTGATAGAAACGCATACAGATTGATGTGAACACCGAAAATCGGCCATGTTTGACTGCAGGCTTGACGGTGTTCAAACAAATTTCTTTAATCAGAAATCAAATCCTTTGATCAATCACTGTCTGTTCTTTTAAAATTTAAGCAAAGAAAAGTTCATATAAAAGGATAATTCTTTGGCCACATTCCAAAATCCGTTTATTTTAAATGTTTACTGTTTATCGTTGTTAAATAATGACTGGTTTAAAATTGACTTTATTCTTACAACTTTGCCCAAATATATATATATTAGAGATCGCATTGAAGTGTTAAAAAGATAATTACCATGCAGTATAGATTCTTATGTCTACACTGACTATATAAAAACTGAAGGCTGGTGAAAAGAATAGCGGTTCTAAATTAGAAATCAGAGTTCAAATTCCAGTCGGATACATTACATTCATTTACGAGCAAAGGTTTGAATTCATCTCCTCCCATCAGCAATAAGTTTAATAGTAATACTTGTAAATGGAAATACCATTGCTATTCTCAAAAAAATCTTAATGCAATATTCACTCACATAAAAAAAATATTACAAGAAGTCCTGGCTTTAAATTACCTACAAAGGATTAATAACCAGTAAAAAAAAAAAAAAAAAAAAAAAAAAAGAAAAAAAAAAAGAAATAATCCAATCCATCGGAGCAGAATTCTCAGACAAATGTCTCTGCATTCAATACTAAATTTCCTAACACAAATCAGAATCAACAAACAAAATACGAAATAATTTTCAATGTATGATACTGTCCACTGTACCCACTATACATGTATAT